AGTGCCTAGTGTGTAACCAGGCCCCCAGCAAAACTTCTCACATTTATAACATAAAATAGTTGTAATAGTGTGATTCCACGTATGGGAAGAAGCAACAAGGGAAAATGTCTCCTGATCATAATTAGACAGAGGATCCAGAGAATCTTTAATTATCAATAGGGCCTAATCCAAAAATTAGCACCTGGAGTGGCATATCAACAATTTTCGCCTGACCTGGGATGAGCCTCCCAGCGCTGTGGGACAAAATTTGATCAAGACATGTCTCCCAAATATTGGTCAAATTCCCCTCCAACGTCAGCCGGTGAACCCTGAGGGAACTCAGGAAGGAGAAGAATACCTGCCATCTAGCAGGCATCAGATCGCAGCCATTTCCTATGGTGAGCCGTGAAGAAACTCAGAATGTGAAAATACAGGATACAGACCCCAGATGGCTGTGGTACATATCAAAGGAATGATTTCAGTGAGCCCAGACACTTGCATCTTCTCATACATAGAAAAACGCTAAATTTTTTAACTTGAGATGTGGCCTCCCAGGCGTGAAGACTCAAAATTCCCGATAACTCTCAACTTTCTAGGTTGTGAATATTTTTTAAGTCTACAGGTGTAAAGCAGACACTTCCAAAGAGGAACAAAAGAAGACAAATCTCATCATTTGGATCACTGGCACCAATGGCGGACACTCCCAGAAAGATCCATCTGACTGAGCAGTTAGAATGGTGGTCACCCCTTTTCCCACAAGATTGTGGAATGCACATTCACAGTGGGGAACTGTAACAGGGAAGAGCCAATTTTGACTCCATGTTGGATCTGTTTCTTGGACTTCAGCCTTTGCTTTTTGTTGCTTTTGTTATTTTAATCATACATCATGGCCTGCCTCAGGGAACCCTGCCCACCTGTGAATGGTTGCAAGAAAGAAGAAATTAACACATCCCCTCCCCGAGGCTGGCCATTCCAGGAGATGTTTTGCAAGACTGATGGCCCTTTTTACTTTACTTCCCTCTCTGATTCTATAAAAGGAACTGGCATCCAGACCCCATAAGATGGTTTTTTGGAGACCCCTGGTCCAACATTTTCTCAGGCTGCCAAACTTCCGAATAAAGTCGTATTGTTGCCTCAGCACCTCGTCTCCCGATTTATTGGCCTGTCGTGCGGCAAGCAGAGCGAGCTTGGACTTGCTAACAGGGAAACCAACTCATTTTAATTAAACAACTTTCTCTGCACGAATAAGAACCGGCCATTCCGTGATTTGAGCACCCACAGTGCTCGGGAGGGAGAATCCGAGACATGAAGAGGAGCTGAAACAACTCTAGGGTAGAAACCTAGAGGTGTGAAGATCATAAGCAGCACATTGGCCCACCACACAATTTCACTAGGAACTTTTATCCTCAACAAATTCAGCTTTAAAGTGGGAAATAGAGTCTCTCAAACAGAAAAAACGAGGGGCATCAGAAAGCCAAACTCCAGCTAACACCCCAGCCAGATTCATGTCTTATACTTGCAAGTACCTAATTAATTGGGAAAATTATATCAAAGGAGAGCTCAACCTAAAATGGCCAATATGGGGCTCTTTTATTGCGTATGCCGTTAAGTTAAAAAAAAGCCGGCTTGATAAAACATCTTTTCAGAATTCTGACCTTAAAAAAACAAAAGCTCGGGGCTTCCCTGGTGGCGCAGTGGTTGAGAGTACGCCTGCCGATGCAGGGGGCACAGGTTCGTGCCCCGGTCCGGGAAGATCCCACATTCTGCGGAGCGGCTGAGCCCGTGAGCCATGGCCGCTGAGCCTGCGCGTCCGGAGCCTGTGCTCCGCAACGGGAGAGGCCACAACAGTGAGAGGCCCGTGTACCGAAAAAAACAAAAAAACCCCCAAAAAACCCAAAAGCTCTTCTAGGGGGAACTTGCATTTCTCTTCCTGTGTCTTTGAGGTGTAAATCTTCTACCTGATCTTCTTAGGTGTTTTGTGTGTGTGTGTGTTTTCAAAAATTGCTCTCTGCCATCTGAGAGGTGCACATATGATACACATCTGGCAATCAAGTAGACTGGGATTCTGAACCGTCTTCTGTCTGACTGTGCCGACTCCCAGCGGCTTTTGCTGTCTTAAACTTTGTTGCATCAGCCTGTACAGTGAAGACCTTTACTTTCTTAGACTGTTTTGGGGAGTAAACTTTCTAGATCTTGTGAAGGCTACATCCTTCACACTTTCTTATGGGGATGCCTCTTGCGTCTTATTGATTTGAGTCCACTATTTACATATATCTCATTAATGGCCAGATTATGGATCCTTTAAATTGGAGGAACTTCTAAACTGATCAATGTTTAGAGAACTTTCATTATGAAGCGCTGTTTTATTGGTACCTTTGGGGGTGGGGGAAACAAATTAGAAGGTGGAAAAATATATAATGGTTAACCTAAGAACTCCTCTAATTTAAAACAGACAAACAAAAACTGGTCTGGGAAGCCTTATTTCTGGTCTCTGATTCCCCTCAATGGGTCTAACAGATGCTAATAAAAACATTAGAATAACTGAGAGGCTATCTTCCAGGCTTAATTCTGCCAAATAAAACATAATTCTCACCTTTTAGGCTGTGCATTTTTTTTCAGTCGACAAAATGAAAAGTAAATGAACTTTCCCAGAATATAGACCAAGAAGACAGAGACTGAAAATGAGAGAGAAAAGGACTGGAAACACAGGGAATCAGCCCAGGAGGTCCAGCAGGTCTGGGCTGCAGGAAAAGAGAACAGAGAAAGTGGAGGGGATGGAATGATCATAGATGGAAGTTTCCCAGAGCTGGAGAGAGACAGTGTTCAGATTGAAAGGTGCCAAAGGCAGCTCATCTCACTGCCCCTCCCTGGCCCTTCTCTCTTGGATAACTGAGAGGACAGAAGGTAACCTCTTAGCCTGAGAGACTACCAGGCTGTCTAGTGATCTCCATCACACACCACAGTCCCCCAAACCCAGAGGGACACCTCCTGTGGGTAGGAGAGGAGGGGGGAGAATCACAAAGTACCTGAAAGCTTGTGGTGGAATGAGGCCTCTGAGGGAGAGAATACGTAGTGAGAGAACGGGCAGGGGAAGGAGAGAGAAAGCATTAGGATGCATAGACTCTCCAATGTGCTGTGTTTGTCAGTGGAGAAGTACGGTTTGGAAAGCAGCAGCAGGGAAAGGGAAGCATGCCAGGCCTTTTGCCCTGGGTTCTGCGGGATGAGCCCCCTCCCCTGAAAGGGCCACAGCATCTGTGTTCTCAGATGAGAGCCACAGTCTCTGTGGAGGAAGGAAGTGAAGAGAGCCTTCTGGGCGGTGACTGAGGGTGTACACTTGTTGGCCATGGAACCAGGATTCCAGAGAGCACGGAGGGAATGGCAGAGAGGGAGGGCATCGGAGAGGAGCTGGGGCTGGGGCTGGGGCTGGAGAGAAGCAGTACAGAGCAGTGTGGGGATGAGTGGACAGAGCTTGGTTCTGGGAAGTGACAAAAGATAGAGGTGAGAGGCCTGGTTGCTTCCAACTAGAACTTTGGGAAAAAGACTTGTCTGTGTGGATACAGTTAGAAAAATGGAAACTGAAGCCAAAAGACGTTTGCCACTTGCGGACAATCAGTTCTCTGTGAACTTTGCTTAAAGCGTCAAAGAGAATATCAATGATGCACTGCTTCTGTTCTTTGAGAAAGCTCAGGCACAGGCCCGAGAAGGTTGTGAGGGTCAGAGATGACAGATGTCATTAAAAAAGTACGTCACCATGCTGGGAACCAAAACACAAGAACCTCAACCTTAACTGATTTCTTGTTTTGTCTATATAATTGGTAAATTTTTTCTTTCTTTTTTAAAATGCAGTATATAATGTTGAGAATCTGGGAGGAAAGACAACAAGCTGCTGGTGGAGGTATAAGTGAAGACAAACTTTTTGGATGGCAACGAGTATCAAAAGCTGTAGACTTTGTATACGTATGATTCAGTAATCTCATTTCTGGGAATTTATTTTAAGGAAATAAATATGGATGATCCCAAAGACGGAATTATAAGGATTTTAACAGCAGCATCGTTTATAGGAGCAAAAAATACAGAAAGTCAAATGACCAACAACAGGATGATACTTGAATAAATGACAGTTTTTCTGTCATGCGACACAACCATTGCAAATACTGATGACTAAGTGTATTTAATCATGTGATAGATGCTAACAAAATATGAAGAGATTTGTACACCAATAATGCCATTTTTATAAACAATATATGAACGAACAAAGGAAATGTTAACAGCAGTGATTTCAGTTGATGGGGTTATAGGTCATTTTCACTTTTTCCTTGGCATTATCTATAGTTTCTTTTTTCTTCTTCAGATTTCTAGTCTGAATGTATATTACTTTAAGGAAAATAAAATCCCATAAATGATCAAAAGCAATGCATGCAAACTTCCTGGTATATATCACGTGCTTGATCACTGATGACCGCGTAGGTGATGGTCACTGTTCACCCTGCTCCCCTCTGCCCCTAGTCTCCTCCCACCGGACCTGGCACTTCGGCCAGCCCCAATTGCTTTGCATATTTTGTGATCTCTCTCAGAGTCTGTGGTTTTGCAAACGCTTTGGCTGTTGCCTAGAATGTTTTCCTTGCCAATGTCTGGCCCCCAACTTTCCTTGTTCTATGAGCCCAAGCAACCCCTCTTCTGGAAGCCCCCTAGCTGTACAGGAGCAGGTAGGTCCCCTCTTAACCTTGGGCTCCCACAGTACTGTTTGCACTCCTGATATAGCACTTCCTTCCTCTGTCATTTGGCATTTTTGTGGCTACATATCCATCTCCCTCCCTTCTCTGAAAACACTGACGCTGTGTTTTACACATCTGTATATCCCCAGGGCTTCAGATGTTATGGATCCTCAGTATACGTTTCCTGAAAGAATGAATTAATTATCTATGAGGAAGCCCACATTTGGAAGTGATTGGTCCTGGGACAAGCCCAGGTTGCGGGTAGGACCCAAGCCACCTGTCACCTCTTTCCCACCTGCTTCTCACCTTGACAGAGAGGAATGGCCTCGCTCCACAGGTGGTAGCCCTGGGGGTGCCGGGTGCAAATGGCCATGCTGTGTCCCACCAACCGGTAGCCGGCGTTGCAGCCAAAGTGGATGGAGCCTCCAGGCTGGGTGCTGGTCTGGCCCAGAAGGAAGCCATGGAGTGGAGCCCTGGGCAGGCTGCAGTAGGGAGCTGGATAACAAGATGAGGGTCAGGGGACCACACACAGCGGGAAGACAGAGGTGGTCCTTCCTGCAGGCCCCGCCCCCTTGCTTCTCCCTCTCTGTCCCTATCTTCACCACTGCCAGGTCCACTGCTGGTAAGGAGGTTGATACTGAAAAGCAGCCAAGTTTAGGAAAGCCAAAGAAAAGGAAAGGAAAGAAAGGAAAGGAAAGGAAAGGAAAAGAGAAGGGAAGGATAAGAAAGGAAAAACAGGAAAGGAAAGAGAAGAAAACAAGAAAAAAACAGCTCCATGAAGCACTGGGTCCCCTTTGCACCTGGAGGCAGCACTAGCCGTACAGCTGAGTTCAGGCTCTCGAATCCCACCATATCCCAAAGGGACACAGAAAATAGAACCCAATGGGGTTGGTTCCAGAAGGGTGTGACCGCAGGGGCGAGGTCTCTGGAGTCAGGGCTGTGCTCAAGTCCCATTTCCCACCTTTCCACAGTTCTGTGACTTGGGACAAATCACTGAGGCGCTTTCAGGTCCATTTTCCTCACCTGTGTATTGCGATTGGCAATGCCTCCCTCATAGGTTTTGGGACAATTTAAATGGGATCGTGTCTGTAAAACCCCCAGCCCAGTGCAGGGCACTCAGTGCTCAGTAACTGGTCCCTGTCCTGCTTTCTGTTGTGTGTGGAGGATGGGGGGAGAGAGAGCTGTGGCAACCCAGGGCATCAAATCCACAGTCCTAATTCCCCCTCAACATCTGGCTTCAACTTATTTCATTCATTTATTCAACAGACAGATAGCGAGTGTCTATTATATGCCAGGTGCTGTTCTAAGTGCTGGGGATACAACAGTGAAGAGAACAGACAAAAACCCCAGCCTTAGAGAACTTGGCAATAAAAACGTCTGCCAGGGATGCTCGGGGGAAGTTCTGTGAGGCCGGGAAAGAGGGATGACCAAAGGAGCACAGAGAGCAAGCCCGTTCATCTGCTCTAAGAGTCCCTGGCATGGGATCAAGGTAGGATGAAGATGACAGGACCCTTCCTGCATCCTCCCCACAGTATGGTCCTCTGGCCTCTTACGTGATCACATCCCTCTGCTGGTGAAATTGATGCTTTAAAATACCTCCTTTTCAAGCCAGAAACGCTTCCTTACTTCTGCTTTGCGACCTGTGTCCTGTTTATGTGGTATCTACAAGTCTACCTCGGTCAAGAACAAGAATCTCAGTTATAAAATATACTTAGTCACAGTGATGGAGGCATGTGCAGAGTACATGACTCTACTGTATTTCCATTAAGGACTCATTGCTTCACCATGTAATTAATTCACTTTCTATGTGGCGTATGTATTGTAATTATAACTGACTCATTACCCACAAATAGGTGATTAATCTTTAAAAACATCAAGGGAAGCACAACTCCTTAATGGCTTTTAGTTCAGAGTTTAGCAGCTAGCATAGTGAAATGCTGCTAAATTGCTTTATTTCTCTTTTGTGTTAGTAGCTTCTAGGAACTCAGCCTGAACCTCCCTGACAGATGGCTTAAGGTCTCTTTTCCATCATGAGGAAACCGAGGCCTGAAGAGGTTGAGTGACAGAGCCGACTGCCGACCCTGGGGGCCGTGAAGGTACCCTCCTTCTTGTGTGCCTGGGGGAAAGGAATTTGGGGTCCACTTTGCAGAGGAAATGGACGCTGAGATAGTAAAGCTCCTTCTCCTCCCAGGCTCCCCTCAGCTTCATCTGGCTGGTCCCCCCCACCCCCAAAGCCATACCTAAGAGTTTCTTAAGACTTCGATAGCCCGCTAAGTTTGGGTTGGTCTTCCGAGTCGGCAGCCCATGAGAAGAGATGGATTGAGACAAGGGGAAACTCAGGCTATAATATGTATATCTGACATCCCTTCTAACCAATATTCTTTGAAAATTTGTCCAACGTTTGTTTGGAACTCAGGCTAAATGCAGCCAGGGGAAAGAGTGCTGCAGGGGGACTGGCGCCTGGTGGAACTCGCCATGGTCTTAAGTAATTCATTTCTGCTCCCAAGCTCACAGAGCCAGCCAGCAGTTCAACGGACCCACTGCCCTGCAAAATGGGCAGCAAGCAGCTTTTCAAATTTTCTTTCCAGCGACAGACAGTAATCCCCATGATGGGAGTTCAGATAACGTTGATTTTCTCCATCTCATTTTATTTCCAAGGATATTTTTGTGCTCCTTGTAGATGGCTGGCTGTTCAGCTATCCGGTTGGATTGGCCCTCGATCTGACACTGCCTATGAGATATGGCTTGCAGAGCAGAAGAGAGGCTCCTGGACTTGGAATATAACCCATCGTTTGCTGCTTTTCTAATATTTGCCAGTTGGGGACCCACATCTTAGGGTTTTTTGGTTTAAAGGACCTTCTATTAACATTTCAACAGTGTTAGGGACGGGACCACCTATAGGCCTTATCAGGTCATATAAAATAAACTTATCCAAAAGACACAGGCTGGCAGTATGAGCAGAAAGAGGGAAGAGCTTAAAAGTGGGGAGAGGTATAGAAAAGGGGGAGGTGGGAAAATGTCAAGGACACTGTGCAGGTAGAGGTGAGAGTGCCCACGAGGAGGAGAAAGGCTGCCGGTCCCCAGGCGTGTGGAGGAGCTCGGCCAGGCACGAGGACATGGCCCATGGCTTATTCTTCTGGGTGAGAAATGTAAGGGGCTCGGGGGTTGTGGCCCTTCTCATGAGTCTGTATGTTTTACTCACCTGCATACCGAATCTTAAAGCCCTTCCGATTGTAGGCATGGTCAGACGACCAGCGCAGGTACACAGAGTTGCTTGAGCTGGTGACAATCAGGGGAGCTGAGTAGTTCCCACTGAGGGCTTTCAGCAGAGGACTTTGTCCTGAGGGACCTGGGAGGAGAGTGTGGGCACAGGATCACAGACTATCACAGCTATCAGAGATACTAGGTGTGATACCTTTAATGTAACCACCTCCGATTTTCCCCTCCTCAAGTGAAGACGTGAAGATTTGGGATGGTAACTCAGCACCATCACCGGTCCATCTGCTCCTCTCTCAGTATCCACAGGCTTTGCTCTAGGTGCTCTCCCCTCCTGAGCCCTAAAGCAGGGATCCAAGAAGTCCCTGACAACACATAGCTGTTGGCAGGTGAGATGACATCTATTTGCCATCCTGGGACTTGCCCACAGTCAAGCAGCGGGTTAAAAGAGCTGGTTTTCAACCTGGGAACATTTTCTATCGCACCATCCTACTTGTGCATACTAAAAACAGTTCAGTCCCTGCCACATAGAAAAAATATTTATGAATGAATAGATAGCAATAAAGCTAGAGGAAAACATGATCATGTCTCAATGTTATAAATAACATAGCTCCCCAATGGTCCCTTCCAAGGCTCTTCCAGAAAGGCCTCCCTGTTCTTTCTCTCCTCCTTAGATGCCTAGAAGTGCATCCCAAGGGTGCTGATTCAAGGGAGGCAGAGTACAAAGCTAGATAATCCAAAACACAGGATTTATTATCCTGGAAAGAGCCCTAAGTGATGGTTCTCATATGCTGCCGAGACAGCTCTTGGGAGCTTGGCAAAAGTAACAGACCACATTAAACAAAGGAGAGCCATCAGAACTGCTGTGAGAAACTATGAAGGAAGGGGTCAAATGGCTCAGAGGAATGGCATGCTGGGATAGGTCTGCTGTATTAGACCAGAACACCCACCAGCTGACCGTGACCTTCGGGAGGATCTGGGGGACACACCAGTTCCTAAAGCAATAAGGAATGCACTGCTGAGGGGGTGAGGACAAACATCAACAACCTGAGAATTGGCTGTCCTCTGTAGGCGGAAACTGATGGGAGGAGAGGCTGTCACCAAGCTGGGCTTCCTAGTATTGATGGGGAGGAAAGGAGCCTAAATACAGAGGCCAGGCAGAAGTACTGGTTGGCATAATTACTAAAATGGGCAGCAAGGTTGGGATGGCAGCCAGGAGGGCCTGACCTGCAGGATCTATGGAGATGGCTGACACAACATGATATTCCTAAGGGCAAGATAGATGGGCGGCCAAAAAAAATGAACATATGAAGAAAACAGATCATGAATATATAACCAAAAGGGTGTAGAAAGTTCCAATCCCTGGAGTAATTTGGAGACTTGAGCCAGGTTTCGTTTCTTACTCCAGAATACTTTGGCTGAAGGAGGGGCTGGGTCCTTATGAAAAAGGACCCTACAAAATAACACCAGTTGGATATGGTAGTGATTCCCGAGTCTTTATCCCAAAAGACCCACCACTATTAATTCAGGTAACTGAATATTGGGGAAAAGGGAATGTCTGGATATTTGGAAGACTTTTGTATACAGAGTGTGTGAATTGATGCTGATACCTGGGACCCAAAGCACTATTATGGCTCCTTTGTTACAACAGGGTTATATGAGGGATGGGATTGGTGAGAAATGGAGTCTTGTCCCCAAAACTTAACCCAGTAGTAGCCTCAACTGCAGTAGCTATGCCAGATGTAGTATATTCATTAGAGGAGATTATCATAGCTTTGGTTATATGAAATGCAGTTATTGATCTAGCAATGCATTCTTTTCTATACCCACCAGAAAGGAGGATTGTAAGCAATTTGCATTTACATGAGGGAGACAACAGTATACATCCATGGTCTTGCTCCAGAGCTATGTTAATTCTCCTGCTCTGTCATAATGTAGTATGAAGAGATGTGGACCATCTGGACATCCTGCAGAATACAGTGTATTGATTTACTATATTGATGACATTGTATTAATTGGATCTGATGTACCAGAAGGGACAATTAGTGTAGATGCCTTTGCAAGACACACACTCCAAAGGGCAAGAGGAAGCCTACAAAGAGTCAGGTGAATTTTTAGGGTCCTGTGGTCTGGGGCATGCTGAGACATATCCTCCAAATTAAAGGGCAGGTTATTGCACCTTTCCCCTCCTACCACCAAGAGAAAAGCATAGTGTTTGGTAGACCTCTTTGGGTTTTGGAAGCAGCATACTCTTCACTTGGAAGTACTGTTATGACCCATTTATTGGTTGACATTCAAGGGGCTAGCTTTGAGTGGTGGCTAGATTAAAGAAAGGGTGCTGTAGCAGGTCTAGGCTGTAACATGAGCAGGCCTGCTCATACAACTCATCAGTTTCCATGGTACTGGAGTTTCTGTGGTAGGGAAAGACCTTGTGTGGAACATCTGGAAAGTCCTAATTGGGAGGTTGCATCATAGACTCCTGGGGTTTTGAAGCCAGTCTGTGCTATCTTTAGCAGGGCACAATTTGATTTACTTACCATCAAAGATCTCAAACTCATCATACTGCTTCTCACTGAGAAAGTACTCCACTGTGAGGGTGATGTTATATTCGGGCTCCACTCTCACCAGCCAAGAGCAGGTCTGGAACTGGGGATAGCTTCCCGGGTAGCTCTGACTCAGGATCACACCTGTGGAGTCTGTCAGAAGCTCATTCGTTGGGCAGTGCACTTGGAGAAAGAAAGAGAAATACCAGGTACATGGGATGGAGATGGAACGAGTGCCATCACATTGGCTTTTCCCTGGTGAAGAAGACAACCATTGGAAAACCAGACGGCATTTGAGCACATTCAAGCAAGACTCCAATACCCATCATTTTACTGCTCCATGGCATGAGTTGGTCTCAGATTCTGTGTCAACGTTACTATATTGCTGAGATTCAGGCTTGGTCAGTTGGTTGGAATCACTTCTTAGCTCAGATATGGGCTTTGGAGCAGGCGGGGATGATACGTACATACAGATAACTGTAAGGCATCCTCAAATCCAAGAGCTAAGTAAGTTTGATTTGTACAAGGAGAGTATAGGGCAGAGGTAAGCCCATGGGATTTTGAGTCAAACACACCTGGATTTATAGTCCACCCCTGTCACTTACTACCTGTGTGGTCTTGAACAAATTATTTCCTTTCTGTGCAATAGCTTCACCATCTCCAACCCAAAAAGATAACACCTACCTTACAGGGCTGTTGTATTACACAAAATGTTATATAATTATATATTATTTTAAGGTCTCTTTTTCCTTAAAATAATCTTTTAAGGAAAGATTATTTTAATCTTTAATATTTTAAAGATTAAAAGATTAAAGATTATTCTTTAATCTTTAAAGGTTAAAAGATTAAAGATTATTCTTTAATCTTTAAAGATTATTTTAATCTTAATAAATTAGGATTATTTTATTATTATAATATATAATCTTAGTAAGATTAAGATTATATATTATAATATAATATATTACCATATTATACTAAATAATATATGTATGGCATGCCTCCATAAATTATAGAGATGATGATGATAATTAGACCAGGAACAGAAGGAAACAGCAGAGCGTGGCTGTGACCTGATTAGTAGTACGAAGATATCTAGAAAGAAATTGAAGATGAAACAAATAAATGGAAAGATATTCTGTGTTCATGGGCTGGAAGAATTACTATTATTAAAATGTCCATACTACCTAAAGCAATCTACAGATTCAATGCAATCCTTATCAAAATACCCATGGCATTTTTCACAGAACTAGAACAAATAACTTCAAAATTTGTATGGAAGCACAAAAGACCCTGAATAGCCAAAGCAATCTTGAGAAAGAAAAACAAAGCTGGAGTTATCATGCTTCCTGAATGCAAACTATACTACAAAGCTACAGTAATCAAAACAGTATAGTACTGGCACAAAAAGTGACACATAGATCAATGGAACAGAATAGAGAAAAATAAGTCCACACATATATGGGCAATTAGTCTATCCTAAAAGAGGCAAGAATACACAATGGGGAAAAGACAGTCTCTTCAAGAAGTGGTATTGGGAAAACTGGACAGCTACATGTAAAAGAATAAAACTAGACCATTTTCTCACATCATATACAAAAATAAACTCAAACTGGATTAAAGACTTAAATCTAAGACCTGAAACCATAAAACTCCTAGAAGAAAACATAGGTAGTATACACTTTGAAATCAGTCTTAGCAATATATTTTTGGATCTGTCTCCTCAGGCAAGGGCAACAAAAGCAAAAATAAGCAAATGGGACCATATCAAACTAAAAAGTTTTGGCACAGCAAAGGAAACCATCAACAAAAATGAAAGGGCAGGCATTTCCTCTTGGTTAGTAAGCTGAAAGTCTTTAACATTTGGAGATGATTCCTGGTGACTTTGCCTGAGCTCCCAGAGCCGTGTGGCTGACAGGGTCTTGGTGCTCTGGCCCAGTGTCAGGCCTGATTCTCTGACGTGGCAGAGCCGAGTTCAGGACATTGGACCACCAGAGACCTCGTGGCCCCATGTAATATCAATCAGTGGGAGCTCTCCCAGAGATCTCCATCTCAATGCTAAGACCCAGATCCCCCCAACAGCCAGCAAGCTCCAGTGTTGGATGCTCCATGCCAAGCAACTAACAAGACAGGAACACAAACCCACCCATTAGCACACAGGCTGCCTAAAGTCATACTAAGTTCACAGACATGCCAAAACACACCACCAGATGCGGCCCTGCCCATGAGAAAGAAAAGATCCAACCCCACCCACCAGAAGACAGGGAGCAGTCCCCTCCACCAGGAAGCCTACACAAGCCACTGAACCAAACTCACCCACTGGGGGCACACACCAAAAACAACAGGAACTACGAACCTGCAGCCTGCAAAAAGGAGACCCCAAACACAGTAAGTTAAACAAAATGAGAAGACAGAGAAATATGCAGCAGATGAAGGAGCAAGGTAAAAACCCACCAGACCAAACAAATGAAGAGGAAATGGGCATTCTGCCTGAGAAAGAATTCAGAATAATAATAGTAAAGATATCCAAAATCTTGGAAACAGAATGGAGAAAATACAAGAAATGTTTAACAAGGACCTAGAAGAACTAAAGAGCAAACAAACAATGATGAACAACACAACAAATGAACTTAAAAATTCTCTAGAAGGGATCAATAGCAGAATAACTGAGGCAGAAGAACGGATAAGTGACCTGGAAGATAAAATAGTGGAAATAACTGCTGCAGAGCAGAATAAAGAAAAAAGAATGAAAAGAATTGAGGACAGTCTCAGAGACCTCTGGGACAACATTAAATGCAGCAACATTCAAATTATAGGGGTTGCAGAGGAAGAGAAAAAGAAAGGGTCTGAGAAAATATTTTAAGTGATTATAGTTGAAAACTTCCCTAATATGGGAAAGGAAATAGTCAATCAAGTCCAGGAAGTGCAGAGAGTCCCATACAGGATAAATCCAAGGAGAAACACACCAAGACACATATTAATCAAACTATCAAAAATTAAATACAAGGAAAAAATATTAAAAGCAGCAAGGGAAAAGCAACAAATAACACACAAGGGAATCCCCATAAGGTTAACAGCTAATCTTTCAGCAGAAACTCTGCAAGCCAGAAGGGAATGGCAGGACATATTTAAAGTGATGAAAGGGAAAAACCTACAACCAAGATTACTCCACGCAGCAAGGATCTCATTCAGATTTGATGGAGAAATTAAAACCCTTACAGACAAGCAACAGTTAAGAGAATTCAGCACCACCAAACCAGCTTTACAACAAATGCTAAAGGAACTTCTCTAGGCAGGAAACACAAGAGAAGAAAAAGACCTACAAAAACAAACCCAAAACAATTATGAAAATGGTAATAGGAACATACATATTGATAATTACCTTAAATGTAAATGTATTAAGTGATCCAACCAAAAGACACAGACTGGCTGAATGGATACAAAAACAAGACCCATATATATGTTGTCTACAAGAAACCCACTTCAGACCTAGGGACACACACAGACTGAAAGTGAGGGGATGGAAAAAGATATTCCACATATGGAAATCAAAAGAAAGTTGGAGTAGCAATTCTCATATCAGACAAAATAGACTTTAAAATAAAGACTATTACAAGAGACAAAGAAGGACACAACATAATGATCAAGGGATCAATCCAAGAAGATAAAATGATTGTAAATATTTATGCACCCAACGTAGGAGCACCTCAATACATAAAGCATTTAAATGTTAACAGCCATAAAAGGGGAAATCGACAGTAACAATAATAGTAGGGGACTTTAACACCCCACTTTCACCAATGGACAGATCATCCAAATTGAAAACAAATAAGGAAACACCAGTTTTAAATGATCTGTTAAACAAGATGGACTTAATTGATATTTATAGGACATTCCATCCAAAAGTAACAGAATACACTTTCTTCTCAAGTGCTCATGGAATATTCTCCAGGATAGATCATATCTTGAGTCACAAATCAAGGCTTGGCAAATTTAAGAAAATTGAAATTGTATCAAGTATCTTTTCCAACCACAAATCTATGAGATTAGATATCAATTACAGGAAAAAACTGTAAAAAGTACAAACACATGGAGACTAAACAATATGCTACTAAACAACCAAGAGATCACTGAAGAAATCAAAGAGGAAATAAAAAAATACCTAGAAACAAATGACAATGAAAACACGACGATCCAAAACCTATGGGATGCAGCAAAAGCAGTTCTAAGAGGGAAGTTTTCAGCAATAGAATCCTACCACAAGAAACAAGAAACATCTCAAATAAACAACCTAACCTTACACCTAAAGCAATTAGAGAAAGAAGAACAAAAATCCCCCAAAGTTAGCAGAAGGAAAGAAATCATAAACATCAGATCAGAAATAAATGAAAAAGAAATGAAGGAAATGATAGCAAAGATCAATAAAACTAAAAGCTGGTTCTTTGAGAAGATAAACAAAATTGATAGACCATTAGCCAGACTCATCAAGAAAAAAAGGGAGAAGACTCAAATCAATAGAATTAGAAATGCAAAAGGAGAAGTAACAACTGACACTGCAGAAATACAAAGGATCATGAGAGATTACCACAAGAAACTATATGCCAATAAAATGGACCACCTGGAAGAAATGGACAAATTCTTAGAAAAGCACAACCATCCGAGACTGAACCAGGAAGAAATAGAAAATATGAACAGACCAGTCACAAGCACTGAAATTGAGACTGTGATTAAAAACTTCCAGTGAAAAAAAGCCCAGAACCAGACGGGTTCACAGGCGAATCCTATCAAACATTTAGAGAAGAGCTAACACCTATCTTCTCAAAGTCTTCCAAAATATAGCAGAGGGAGGAACACTCCCAAACTCATTCTATGAGGCCACCATCACCCTAATTCCAAAACTAGACAAAGATGTCACAAAAAAAGAAAACTACAGGCCAATATCACTGATAAACATAGATGTAAAAATCCTCAACAAAATACTAGCAAACAGAATCCAACAGCACATTAAAAGGATCATACACCATGATCAAGTGGGGTTTACCCCAGGAATGCAAGCATTCTTCAATATACGCAAATCAACCAACGTGATATGCCATATTAACAAATTGAAGGTTAAAAACCATATGATCATCTCAATAGATGCAGAAAAAGCTTTTGACAAAATTCAACACGCATTTATGATAAAA